GTGGGAGTGATGTCATCTCCATCCTGACTGTCCTTGTCCCTCCTCTGCCTGCAGCTGGATTATCACCGAGGCCTCTTGGTGGATCGTCCCTCTGAAACTAAGACAGAGGAGCAGGGAGTACCACGGCCGCTGCACCCCCCGCCCCCGCCCCCAGCCCAGCCACCACAGCACCCCAGGGCAGAGCAGCGGGAGCAGGAGCGGGCGGTGCGGGAACAGTGGGCAGAGCGGGAGCGGGAAATGGAGCGGCGGGAGCGAACTCGATCAGAGCGTGAATGGGATCGGGACAAAGTTCGAGAAGGGCCCCGTTCCCGTTCACGGTCCCGTGACCGCCGCCGCAAGGAACGTGCAAAGTCTAAAGAAAAGAAGAGTGAGAAGAAAGGTACTTATTTAGCTTGGGGGGGAGGGTGCATACCACTAGAAGGTGGGAAAGGGACCCAAATGGGATGGGACACAGGGTCTTATGCGTGAAGTCTGACTCACTTTCTTCCACCTCAGAAAAAGCTCAGGAGGAACCACCTGCCAAGCTGCTGGACGACCTTTTCCGTAAGACCAAGGCAGCTCCCTGCATCTATTGGCTCCCACTAACTGACAGCCAGGTGAGTGCCTGCCTTCGTGCCCTGCTCAGAGCTGCATCAAGACTTTGGGGCCGAGCAGGGGAGAGTCATGTGACTAGAGTGTGAGTAGGCCCAGGTATTGGCTTAGGATAGTAAGGAAGAAATTAAGCATCACAGAAAGAGGCAGCTTTAAGGCCCAGTTAGTTGAGTACACCACAGAGGAGCCAGACCCAAGAAGGTGGAGGTAGACACAGAAATCAGAACTGTGTGTGTGTGTCTCAGGAATCTGGCTGTGCCAACCATGCTTCACAGAAATTGACTTTAGTTAGCTGAGAAATCTTGTGTTTTATAAACTCATTCATTTTTCTGCTTTTTTTTTTTTTTAATTTTGTGGGGGAAGTAGTTAGGTCTGTTTATTTTTAATGGATGTTCTGGGCATTGAACCCAGGACGTCACATGTATGCTAAGCATGGGCTCTACCACTGAGCTATACTCTTCTCCCCTCTGCTTCTAGGTTTCTTTGTTATGGACCTTTTGGGAATTTTAGGCTTATGCTATTCAACTAAAGAGAAGAGAGATTTGTTCACATTTAAGTAGCTCGGGAAATACCAGAGGTCAGGCAGGGATGGTGCCACTACCTGTCGTGGGCATAAAAGAAAACTGGGAGGGCTTGGGGCTCTGAGACAAGGACAGATGTGATTGCTGAGACCCTCCCCCTTTTCTGCATAACAGCAAAGCTGACAGTGACCCCAAGCTAGGGTATAGGAGACCAGGTGGGGCTGAGATGCCTGTTCTCTGCCTTCCCTGCCCGATGCAGATTGTTCAGAAGGAGGCCGAGCGGGCTGAACGGGCCAAGGAGCGGGAGAAGCGGCGAAAGGAGCAGGAAGAAGAAGAGCAGAAGGAACGGGAGAAGGAGGCCGAGCGGGAACGGACCAGACAGCTGGAGCGGGAGAAGCGGCGAGAGCACAGCCGGGAGAGGGACAGGGAGAGAGAGAGGGACAGGGAGCGGGACAGGGGGGATAGAGATCGGGAGAGGGAGAGGGACCGGGAACGAGGCAGGGAGAGGGACCGCAGAGACACCAAGCGCCACAGCAGGAGCCGGAGTCGGAGCACGCCGGTGCGGGACCGGGTGGGCGCCGCTAGCTGGGGAAACACTAGGGAGAGCTGCAGGCATCTGCCACCCTGCCCCAGGGGGGTTCAAGGCCACAGAGGGATAGGTACAATCTCCATCACCCTGGAACCAGGGGTCTTTCACACCATTTGCCCAGTGCTGAAGTATGGCTGCCACCTGTCCCCACATACCAAATGGAGCAGTGGCCATCTCGCCCCCACCCCCGTAATCTATCTCTTGAGACCTAGCCCTCTCCTCCGTCTCATTTCCCATTAAGTCTGTGAGAGGGAAGAGCTAGGTTAGGGAGAGAGGTGGTTGGCCCAGAGGTGGGGAGCAACCTGGAGCCCCAAACCTCTCTCATTTTCCTCCATCCTGCTCACCACCTCCTTTGGTACTCGCACCCTCTTCTTGGGAACAGCCGGGGCCAGGACTGGGTCACCTATGAGCTGAATCAGCATCTCCTCCTGAGTCCCAGGGCCCCTGCAGTTCCCAGTCTTTTCTGTCCTGCAGCCCCTGCCTCCTGCCCACCGGTTCAACTTTATATCCACCTTTTCTTTTTGTTCAATTTTTATTTTTATTTTTTTATTATTAAATGATGTGGTCTATGGAAAATAATAAAAATCTGACTTAGTTTTAACTAGTGTGTGAGTGGCTTTCCTTGGGCAGGACCTGGGTGAGAGCCAAATTTTGAAGAGGCGGCAGCGTTGCTTGCATTCCATACGCTTAGGCAGGCTGCTTCCTGGAGCAGAGGCTTCCCCGCCCTCCATCCCTGCCTGGGCTCTAACCACACCGCACCTGTGGATCTTACTCACGAGAATAGCGGGAAAGACCCCTTGGGAAGGGGAAGTTCCGTTTCAGGGCTCCCCGTCCTGTGCTAGAGGCATTTGGTCACCTGCTTGCCACCTTCAAGGTGCCTCCCACAACTGCCACCAGGGGGCGGCAGGCGCTCGCTCAGTAGGCTCCTGTAAATGAGCTTCCCCAAAAGGCTCCGCTCCTCACCTCGGCGCCCTCCCGCCGATGTGCCTCGGTCCCTGACCTGTTCCCTGGGCCCAGCCCGTGGACTCCCGGGATCGTGCTGCCTTGCTTAAGCGCCCCCAGCAGGCCCGCCACCCTGCTCTGCACGGGCTCCCAGAACGGGGCCGCCTCACAGCCGGGGTACACAGCAGCCCTCAAGGCCGGTCCGGGAGCGGAGCCGGGCCTCCGCAGTGGGCTCCTGAGTCCCCACCTCACGGCGCGCTCGCCTCTCGCCCCGCTGTGGGGGGCGTGCGGGTGCGCCCTCCCCGCCGGCTCTTCGGAA